CTTGGCTTAGCGTCGAGACACTACCGTGTCTCCAGATTTTGACACTCGTGGAGAAGAATGGATCAATGGTTCTTGTTGTTGAACGCTTTTTACCTTTATTTATCAACTCATTTTTCTAGACCAAAAAGACATGCAAAGGATTTACCAGACCACCTCAAGAATGCAAACAAATAAATGATAAGTAATACTACCCACCAAACCTACATATTATACAAGATGTTTCAGAATCCCAGACCGTTGAAATCGAAATCATTTCATAGCAATCATTTTTGTGATAATTTCATGCAATGTTTCAATAGGTATTCTTTTGTTTTTTAACTTGCAGTATTTACCATCATGTTAATTTCGTAATCACAATGTAAATCAAATTTAAGTAACTGTTAAACTGGGTTGGCGTGAGAACTGCAGATCACAGAACAGTTGAAGCAGAAGCGGGAAACTCGGAAGCGCGGAAGGGAGTGTATAAGCGCGTTGGCATTAACATTATACGAACCTGTACAAGCAATGGGTTTTCTAACCTGTAGTTGAAGGCGGCGATAAAGTCACTAGATTTATAAAGCATCGCAAATTCACCACCATTTTGACGCGAAACGCGGTCATTTCGAATTTATGCATTTAAATATACTTTATAATAAAGATTCAAATATTTATATTTAAATTTGTTTGAAGAACTCTGGGGGGGGCGGTCGCCCCTCCGTCTCCCCCTTGAATCCGCCAATGATGTCATCATTACTTCTGTGATACCACTATAAATTCCGAGTACGAATGTATTTCGATTTTAATTTTCCTCCTGTTCGCGTTGAGTGAGTAAGGTTCCGTATTGGTGCCATTGTGAGAGCACCAAGTCACGTGCACGGAATCGCAATTACGCGGAATCCCGAATGTCCAGACTTTCTACTTCTAGGGACTTTAATCTGAAGCATATACGATATTAAACAATCCAACGACGAGAACCGAATTTATCAATCAACTGTTTGAAGTATAAAATAAATATGCATATAAGAAATTGGTAGCTCTCCATTTTTATCTAAATACATATATATATTTTTTTATAGCTGGAAGCATTTATGAAGTTACATCTGTATGAATTTAAAGGCGACGATAGAAGTAACCTTCTCAGTTTTAATCAGATGCAGAATGCTTCATTTATTCTGCAACTTTCTACCACGGAGACCACTCAAAACATGCTGGATAACATTCAAATTATCCTATCTGAGATGTTGCATGACAATGTTCAGCATTTACATAACATCAAACATTATCCAAAGTATAATTAATTATAATATACATATATATATTTTTTACAGATCTTTAATATTTATTTATTTGGTAAATGTTCCAATTAGGGGACCCCCCCCAATGACTTTGACCTTGACATATATTGTCAAGGTCATGACCCTGAGTAACCTCCAACAGGTTTTAGCTGTCGCTCGTCCTTCGTTAAAAAGTTATTAACAGTTAAAGTTAGTAATTCTTTAACTGCTTGTTGTATGTAGCGAATCGCGAAGGATGAATCGATAGATCGAGAGATCGAGAGATCGGAAAAGGTTAGGAAGATAGACAGGCGAGAGTAGAGAGGTTCTGTACGTTAGCATAATAAAGCATATATTTCTTGCGAATCCTGGACGCTTGCTCATTGACGACTACATCTCCAAAACCTCGGCGACGCATAACACACTGCTTTACATAGCTTAGATATCTCTGACCTTCGACTCTCATTTCCCCTCCCCCCTGCAAAGGGGTGCCCGACTCTCACCTTCGACTCTCATCCTCCCTCACCCCCTGCAGAGGGGCGCACGACTTCCACGCTCGTTAAATATTCACACGTACAAGTCTATTTATTCCTCGGTTTATTTTGCTTACATTTAAGCAATGGAAAGGTCACTATTACGATGCAGGGGGAGGAGCAGGGGTGAGAGTCGAAGGTGAGAGCCGTGCGCCCCTTTGCAGGGGGGAATAGGGATGAGAGTCGATGGTGAGATTCGCGCACCCCTTTGCAGGGGGGAGGCGGGG